AACTTGCCATACAGGTAAATATTCTGGTTTTTATTTTATTTTTATTTTTTTTACTTATCAATATCAATCTTTTTCCCAAGATAGCCTGTGATGTGATTCCAATTATTAATCCTACACTATAATCCTCTCGATTACAACTCTTTTTGTGATATTTGTACTTTCTAAACAAGCAAATTGAAAAGACAAAATCATTATAGAATAAAGCCATCCCTATTTTATCCTTCTTTTTGCAAAGATAATTAATCTAGAAGGTTAATATTGATTATAGAAGTATTATTCCTTCATCATTTCAACTCTTTCTCAATCTTAAAGCGCATTTAGAATATTATTTTTGGGTAGTTACTTCTTGTTGTCTGTGTTAGATCATCTTCTAAGCTCTTCTAAAGAATTATTTTTCATCATTTTCTACTAATTTTGGAAATCGTGTTTTACCCTCCATTGATTTTAATTCCATTTGGTTTGAATCGTTAAGAAAAGAAAGATAATCCACTTCATCTTTTCTAATGACACTTCTTTTGTTTTGGGGGTCTTGTTGCTTTCTATATATATATACATCTTCCAAATTAGTTGCATTCAATTATAATGGATTGTCATTTTTTCTAAGTAACGACCTGGACTAATCTTCCAATGAAATTATGCAGACACATGCAATGACAAAGGACCTTCTCAATCATCATTCACAGACTCTTGGCATGGTTATTGGTGGTGCAGCCCACAGGGGAGAAGCTGAGTGTATTGTGAAAGGAGTAAACCTGTTAGTAGCAACCCCTGGCGGACTTCTTGACCACCTACAGAACACTAAGGATTCATATGTAAAAATCTAAAGGTATTTTTATTCACTCATACATGTCTTCAATTTCTTCTATGCTCACCAATTATGTTTGCACAAACTTTATGTGGGACTTATGTAAAATGTACCTCCAACTGAACTTTCTTGGTTGTTTTGTTACATATTCTAATGCAGTTAGTTGTGTTCTTATCCCATGAATTTAAGTTGAAAGTTTAATTGAAATCGAGGTTGTTAAATTTATGTTCTGTCATTATTTGTTAAAGTGATTTCATATTGCATGTACTGTGGAGATGAATAACTATTGCAGGCTTTCTTGTATGATACTCACCAAGCTAATAGCTTGTGCATGTATGCATTTAGCTTCACTTAATTTTCTTGTTTATTCTTGATCCTCAACCTCAGCAAGTCAATAAATTTTATGTATACAAATGTCTAGAACTACTTACTCAGTTTGTTACGATAGAATTGAATCTGATATTTTAAATGACTTGCAGCAATTCGACTTGGTCAGAGGTCATTGATCATCTATCTAGATCTGTTTCTTTATTGAAATGGTAGTGATGGTTAATTGGAATAATTAAGTTCAATAATTGCCTTTAGTTGCTTGTTTTGGAAATGAGAAGGAATGGAAGGAAGCAAGAAAATTGGTTTCCAGCCTTTACATGTACAAACATGCAAAATCTGGCTTTTGTTGGCACCATATCATTTGTTTTTGGTAAAATAGCGAAAATGGAATTCAGAAAACAGTGAGCAAAAATTGGTAATTTGGGCATCAATACTGATTTAGATTTAATATGTTCACAATAAATTTTGATTTCCTCAATCACCCGCTCAAGTTTATAGAACTTTAATAATTACTAGTTTATTTTGCTTTGGTATTCAGAATATATGCTTACTTATGGATGATCTACATGTTGTTGGTGCATGTCTGTCTTTCAAAGAACAAACGTACCTATCCTATTTTCCATTAATGTAATCATGCTTCAGGGAGCAGCAAACAGAAAGGTAGCTGCCACTAATATGAATCTAGCAAGCAGCCATTCTCATAGTGTGTTTACATGCATCATTGAAAGTAAGGTGAGCAGTCCTTTTGTTTTTGTTATTTTAGTGGCTTTTATTTGGGTGTTTAAATTCTGATCGATGGTTCATGTTTAGTGGGAATCCCAAGGGGTAACTCGTCACCTGTTCACTCGACTTAATCTTGTAGATTTAGCAGGTTCTGAAAGGTAACATCATTGAATAAAGTATGCTGAATAATTAGAAAGTGGAGCCCTCCTGTTTGATAACAGGATTGAATCATGTACCTAAAATTTTATCAACTAATTTATTATCTTTATTTATTTTTTGTCACAGGCAGAAGAGTTCTAGTGCTAAAGGTGAACGTTTGAAGGAAGCTACTAATATCAAGTCTCTTTCAACATTAGGGTTTGTTCTCCCTCCTTTTTTTGTCTTGAGCCTCATTTTGCTTCCCTCTTCAACATGATTTTTCTTGGTTTAATTATGTTAACTAATTTGGAAACATTTACATAGGATCAGGAGGAGGTTGGTAGATAATAATATAAAGTGTCTTTCTTGCTATGTAGCAAAGAGGCAACCTCTAAAATTTTTGTAGGACTTGGAATTAGAGCTATCCTAGGCAAAAATTAGTGCTAAGTACTAACTTTATAATTGTTATTATGGAGTAATAAAATCAGTTTAATTTATGCAGGTATGAGTTGCTATCTTATTTTATTGGGTGAGATTATTTTATCCATGGTTATGATCCAATATATACTCTTTCTACTGATGTTATTTCAAGCTTGGTTGCTCTAAGAAGGAAAACTTTTGAAGACGAAATCCAAGATACTAGGAATTTTCTAATATAAAGATATGGGCAGCACAAGCCGGGTGTTGATGCAATTGAATCAATCCATGATGGTACACTCGCAGGAAGATATTTGGGTAAATTTTTTACCGTTCAGAACTTAAAGATAGTTTTTTTTTTTTTTTTTTTTTTGGGGGGGGGGGGGGATGATTTAGAGCTTTTTGGACGGTTTTGAAGTTAGAGGACAGTTTTTGATATTTAGAAACATAGTTTTTGGATGGTTTGTAATGTACAAACAATTTTTGGATGTTCGAAACTTATAAATAGTTTTTTTTATGCTTGAAATAATATTTTGGTGGTTGATTGATATATATATATATATATGTTTATGAAACTTGTTTGTAATATTTTTTTAGATTTTACAGAACAGGTAGAATAGAACGTGTTAAAAAAAAAAAAAAAAAAAACACAATCTACAACGGGCAGAATAGGCCGTTGTATTAAATATTTAATGACTAGCAATGAGTGACGTAGTTTGTCTCTTGAATTAACGGCGTTCAAAAGTAGTTGTAGAAAAATTAAACATGACATGTAAGATGCGCTGTTAAAAGTTTTAACGGCATACTATGGCATGCTGTTGAAAGTGAATGACTTTCCATGATTGGTCATAATATGGTTTTACCTTGCGTGTCGTAGAATCATTTCCACGACGTGCATTTGGTGCCGTAAAAATCCTTTTTTGTTGTAGTGATGAAAGATTTGGGGCTAGTAAAATAAATATTTGGTATGAAGATTGTTCGTGATCGAAGGAAGGGGCTGATTTGATTGTCTCAAGAAAGTTATATTGAGAAGGTTCTTGAGAGGTTTAACATGAATAAAGTAAAGCCGGTTGGTTGTCCACTTGTGGGTTATTTCAAGCTTAGTTCAAATCAATATCCTACAAGTGAAAAAGACAAAGAAGAGATGCTGAAAATTCCTTATGCTTCAACGGTTGGTTCTTTAATGTATTGCATGGTTTGTACAAGGTCGAATATTGCTCATGCCGTTGGTGTAGTGAGTCGTTTTCTCTCTAATCCCCGGTAAAGAACATTTGGCAGCAGTAAAATAGATTCTAAGGTATCTTCGAGGGATTTTGAAAGTGTGTTTGTGTTTTGGGAATGGTTAGCTGATGCTTGATGATGGGTTCACAAATCCTTACATGGCCGGTGATGTTGACTCTAGGAAATTTACTTCAGGGTATTTAATAACTTTTGCAAGAGAGCTGTGGCTTGGCAATCTAAATTACAAAAATCTGTTGCTCTTTCAACTACAAAAGTTGAATTTATTGCCATTACAGAAGCTTGCAAGGAAGAGTTATGGTTAAAGAAATTTTTGCAAGAATTGGGTTTGAAGCAAGAAAGGTATTTGTTTTTATTGTGCTATTCATTTGAGTAAAAAAACCTACTTTTCATTCAAGATCGAAATGCATTGATGTGAGATACCATTAGATTCGTGATGTGTTAGATTCAAAATTGTTACAACTCGAAAAGGTTCGCACGGATGATAATATTTCGGATATATTGACTAAGACTTTGTCGAGGGACGAACATTTGAAGTGTCAAACTTTGACAGATGTGGTTGATAGTTCTACTTAAATCGGTAAAGGGAGAATTGTTGGGTATATCTCCTTAGTGGAGTACGAGACTCAATTAGTTTATTAAAAATATTTAATTTGGTTTGATGTTAATTATAATAATTTTTATATATTATATTTAACTTTTGGAAGCCCAATAAATATTTAATAATCTATTTGGTAACAATTAAGACTTTGATAAAAAGCCCAAGAATCAACATTATTTATTTGATATTGTATTTGTTTTTCCGAAAAAGTGTGCAGCGGCTAATAGATATATTTCGATGGATGTGTGCTTGTGAGAAGGACCAATTCAGTGGTTTAATTTGTCAAGTACTGTGAGTGTATTTTGGCTGGAAGAAACGAACTTGGTTCAATCTTATTTGTTTAGTGCGAACTTTCAGTGCAACTTCGAAGGTTTTGTTGTGGAGATTGATTTGGGTCCATTATTTTGGTTCTTCTAGACTTTGTTTTTCATCTACTTTGGTGAAGTCTTTTCTCTATTTTTTTGTGATTATTTGGAATTTATTTAAGGGTGATTTGTGAAACTATTCGTGTCTCATTTATAATTGTTTGAAAACTCTTAGTTGATAGTAGAATCGGATTTCGGTTCTGTGAACGTATCTCACATTAAGAAAACCATATAAAAATTCTTGTGTCGTTATTGATTTAATTTTTTTACATTAATTTTTATTTTTATTGATTAATTTACTTGTGAGAAATCATTTATTTTTCTTTTAACAGTTGAAACATGGACTCATCTATTAATATAATCATTGACACTGCCAATATGCTAGGGTAGTGCACATGAAACCAATGGGATGCAGTTTTCATGCTAAATTAACAAAGCAATGTTGAAACATTGACTCATCTATTAATATACTCACTGATTGTCAAAATGCCAATATAGGGTGCACAAAATTAACAAAGAGAGTTCTCCATTTCCAGACTATTGTTCGCTATGATCCAACTTACAATCAATTTTACGAATTTGAGCTCCAACTCAAAATGCGTCTTCATAATAGAGATATTTTGTACCATTATCTTGGACATCATCTACCACCAATGTGGGATGCAAACATTATGAAGTCACACTCTTGCAAACAAACTTCTTTTTCTTGAGACAAACACACCGGCTATTATGATTTATAATTACAAAAATATCAATGTCAGTTTATTTTGGATAAATTTTATGCATAAAAATACTATTTATAAATCATTTTTTAAAATAAAAAAAAAGGAGTCGATCATGTTGAAAAAATAAGGCCCAACTGTCTCAGTAAAAGCGCCACACCACATGTCCAAAGAACCAAAACAATCCAATATAATTAACTAAACAGTAGCACTGGTTCTACTCGGGAGTTAGGTAGCAAATGCAGTAAATTGCACACATTTTGAATTGAAAATGTTATTGGTTAATTCAATTTTGATATGCGTGTAAACATGTCCTTACAGTGGGATGCACATGTCCTTACAATTAACAAAGCAATGTTGGAAACATAAACATATATGTACACTTCTTTATAGGCACGCATGCGAATTTTCCAAAGCTAAAGCTTTGTAAAACAAACAAAAAAAAAAATTGGTCATTCAGTTTGGCAAAGCATTTGCAATTTCATTTTTGAGCCTAACACCTTAAATCCAGAAAGCAAGTGACCATGGCTGTTCCATTTCTTCCGTTTGTGCTTAAAAATCTCAACTCCTTGATCCAAAATGAGGTGGGATTGCTCTGTGGAGTAAACAAGGAGATGAAAAAGCTTTCAAGCACTCTCTTCACCATCCAGGCTGTCCTTGAAGATGCAGAGCAAAAGCAACTGCAAGACAAAGCTATACAGAATTGGTTGAAAGAGCTCAATGATGCAGCCTACGAGGCAGATGACATCTTGGATGAGTGCGCAACCGAAGCCCTCAGATGTGAATTAAAAGGCCAAGGTTATGGTTCTCTGAGGCTCTTCCTGTCTCCCCTATACATGTATAAATTGAGGCCCTCCTATCAAGTCTCAAACACAAAAATTGTTTCTTCCATTCTTTAGTCAGTTGGCCAAAAAGTTCCTATTATGAGAGAGTGCTGCCACTGTTTTGTTCGCTAAGCTAGACAGATAGTGCTTCTGTCGTAGCTGGTTTTGACCGTCGTATCCTGGGAGACAGACGCCGGGATTCCTCAAGCACTCGACCTGTGAGGCGGTGAAATCTGTTTTAAGGAAACTGCTACCGTGCAGGCTTCGGTTTCGTTTCTTTACCCTTTTATTATTTTGTGTATTTATGTTGAAATTTAGTTGTAATTATCTGCATGTGTTCTTGGTATATAATTTGATTTTTTTATAAATCTATTTATTTAATTTCACAAGATGAACAACAAGCTTAAAATAGATTTTTCATATATGTTTTCCTATGAAATTGATCGAATAGTTTTATATAGACATTTGTATAATGTTACTAGGAACTGTTGTGGAATTGCTCCCTATTTCAATGATTGTAAATTATGCAATGTGATTCTCTAATTGTTTAGTCTAATTAGAATGCTCTATCATAATTTGTATACTTAATTGTATTAATCTGATCTTATTTTATGAGTATGGTTCGTCATTCCCTTCTATGATTTGCATGAATTTTAAGGTTATAAAATATAATTTATTGATGTTGCAATTTTGACATGCTAATTCTATTCTATTCTAGGTTTTAATTTGTTACATGCTTATTATTTTCAAGACTAGATTACATGATTTAATCTTTAGAATTTTTTCATGTTAATGGTTGAATGGTTATATACTTGAAGTGCTTGGTTATTAGTTTATTACATATAAATAATTCAAATTATTTACATAAACTGCATGCTACTTATTTGGTTTCATCCTATTTGTCTAATGTTGCATATGTATATTTTGATTTTGCATGCTTCTAGCTTTACTATCTAATGTGCATGTGAAATTGCTTCTAGTTTTCTAGAGTTATACACATAAGTTATTTCCATGAATAGTGTGTGATTTAATTGGATTGGTTATTTTTCTTTATGTTGAAGCATTTTTTGCTTGAGATTTAGTTGGTTTGTTTACCAATTTGTAGCAGCAAGTTTTATTTGCTTGTATTATTAGAAGCATTTTATATGCATGTATTTGGTTGTAGCAATTTTAAATTGCTTGTAAGTTTGGAACTTGGTTTGGTTTTCTGTAATAGAAACCAAAGTGTTTAGCCTTGGCTAAAGAGTAGTTCTTATTTGTTCAGAAATGACAACTAAGACGGATGTAGTTTCAAACTTTTGGAGTTTGAGGAAGTCTTTGGTTTAATCATTTTATTCCCAAAGTGTTGAAAAACCGTGATTGGAGAAAGTCTTTGGTTATAATCTGATTATTTCCAAAGTGTTGTGGTTTTGAGAAAAGAAATCAAATTTTAGCGTTAGCTAAAATATCTCTGATTTTTATTCAGAAATCATGGGCTCAGTTCCAGGAGTACCGGTTAACTATCATGGGCTCAGTTCCGGGAGTACCGGTTAACTTTTATGAGTGGTATAATTCTGGTGGCAAATTTTATTTGCTTGGAAATTGGTTTGTTATAACCTGGTTTATCCCCTGGAAATCTTAATTTTAAAAATTGTTTCCCATGGACTAGGAGTCAACATGCTCTTGGATGTTTTGTCAAAAGGTTAACTGGGTTTTAAGTGAGACCGATGTGACCCTCCAGTCTTCCTGGGAACATTCCTGACCATGTTCGATTCTAGGTTAAATGGTGAGACTAGTTTTGAATTAAATTTCCATCTGAGGGATTTTCTAAGAGTTAAGTTTAATTTCTGGAATCACAGAAGTGAAATTCTGTTGTGATGTTTCAGAAATGGCTTGAAAATGTGACAAACAGAAATATTGTTCCACCTGACAACGTTAAGCCTTGCGAGATTCTTAAAAGATGATCTAGAGAGATCTAGTGTGATTAAAGGAAATCATAAGATTGCATGATAACATTTCTGAATTAATCAGAGGCAATTAGTATGTTATCCTTGTGTCAATTATAGCATATATGAGTGCTATGTGACTTTGCTTGAAAGCAAAGATGAGACAACCTATTATAGTGGGTGAATATTTTTTGGATTTTTTAAATTCCAAATATATTCTTAAATTGGTGGCTCCTAGTGAGTATAAGATCACTGATCACAGAGATAGAAAACTGGTGGTTCCTAGGAGGTGTTAGACCACTGGCTACACAGTTATGAGATTGTGGTTCCTAGTAGTGAACAGATTACTGATCATATGTCAAGACATGCTGATTTCGAGTAATGAAAGAGTCTATTAATCCTATGTTAGGACGTTGTGATTCCTAGTAGTAAAGTGACTACTGATCATAGGTTAAGACATTGTGATTCCTAGTAGTAGAAAGTCTACTGACCACATGCTGAGAAATTAGTGATTCCTAGTGATAAGACTACTGGCCATGTTATGAAGTTCCATATAGTAGACTATTGAACACTAGATTTGTGTTTCCTAATAGTAAGACTATTGGCTTCAGAGTGATAGGTTGGATCAAATATATTTGGGTGCCTAATTCGGTTGATGACATTCTGGGAATGTATTTACTGTGATATGATTTTGAGAGTTTCTTAATCATTGTGACACAAGGAATTGTTTAAAGACCCTGTATGAATTTTTGGAAAAGGTCAAAAGACTTTGTTTAAATTCTACAAATGTGGAGGTGTCATGCAAAAGGCGGGAATATCTATACCTAAGAGGGTTAGGATAAGCCTAAAAATCCGTTGACTTTGTATTCAACGGTTATGCACAATTTAGTAGTGTATATCGATTTCTTGTGATTCAGTCTGCTATTCCAGATATACACAAGAATACTATCATGGAATCAAGAAATGCATCTTTCTTTGAAAATTCCGAGTTCCATGAAAGAGGTTGAAAGTGACAATGATCACATAGCTGATCAAATAGATGATCACTTAGATAATCAAGTTGAGGAGATAGATGAGCCAAGAAAGAGTAAGAGGGCAAGGACAGCAAAGTCTTTTGGCCCGGACTTCTTGACTTATATGTTAGAGGGAGAACCTCGAACTTTTCATGAAGCGGTGACTTCACCAGAAAGTCCCTTATGGAAAGAAGCTAGTAAAAGTGAAATTGACTCCATCTTATAGAACCACACCTGGGAGTTGGTAGATTTACCTCCAGGTTGCAAGCCTTTAGGCTGCAAATGGATTTTTAAAAGAAAGATGAAGGCCGATGGGTCTATTGACAAGTATAAGGCGAGGCTCGTTATCAAAGGATACAGGCAACGAGAAGGCCTGGATTACTTTGATACGTACTCACCTGTTACTAGGATAACATCCATTCGGATGGTGATTGCGATTGCTGCTTTGCGCAATCTAGAAATTCACCAGATGGATGTAAAGACAGCTTTCTTAAATGGAGATTTGAATGAAGAAATCTACATGGAGCAACCTGAAGGATTTTCAGCTCCACAAAGTAGGAAGGTTTGTAAACTTGTCAAATCTTTGTATGGTTTGAAGCAAGCGCCTAAACAATGGCATGAGAAGTTTGACAACGCAATGTTGTCAAATGGGTTTCGAATTAACGATTGTGACAAGTGTGTTTATGTCGAAGACACTGACTGAGGTTATGCCAATTTGTGTCTATATGTTGATGATATGCTCATTATAGGTAGTAATGATGAAATGATCAAAACTACCAAGAAGTTGTTAAACTCTAAGTTTGACATGAAGGATATGGGCATTGCAGATGTTATTCTGGGAATTAAGATTACCAGAATCTCTGACGGAATTGTACTATCTCAGTCTCATTATGTTGATAAGATACTTGAGAAGTTTAGTGGATCAGATACGAGTATGTCATCGACACCTGTAGACTTAAGTCTACACTTTACCAAGAATAATAAAGAGAGTGTCTCTCAGTTAGAATATTCTCGGGTAATTGGAAGTTTAATGTATCTGATGAGTTGTACTAGGCCAGATATAGCTTACTCGGTTAGCAGGCTTAGTAAATACACAAGTAATCCTGATGCTTCTCATTGGAAGGGCATTGTGCGGGTGTTAAGGTATTTACGCTACACTCGGGATTATGGGCTGCATTATACTCGATATCCAGCGGTGCTTGAAGGATATAGTGACGCGAATTGGATATCAGATATAAAGGACTCAAAGTCCATTAGTGGATATGTGTTCACTCTTGGTGGGGCAGCCGTGTCTTGGAAATCTTCCAAGCAAACGTGTATATCTAGATCAACGATGGAATTAGAGTTTATTGCTTTGGATAAAGAAATGGAAGAAGCAGAATGGCTTCGCCATTTCATTGAAGATATTCCACGTTGGTCTAAACCTATGCCAGTTATTTGTATTCATTGTGATTGTCAATCTACAATTGGTAGGGCACAGAGTAATATGTATAATAGAAAGTCTAGACATATCCGTCGTAGACATAATTCCATACGACAACTACTCTCGAATGGAGTTATCTCTTTAGACTATGTAAAGTCTAAGGACAACATTGCGGATCCGCTAACCCAAGGGTTAAGTCGAGTGTTAGTCGAAACGTCGTCAAAAGGAATGGGGTTAAGGCATTTGGAAGTTACCGGAATGGAAACCCAGCCTAGTTGACTGGAGATCCCAAGATCTAGGTTCAAAGGGACAAC